AAGTTTGCAGGTCCATTTAAATCATGAGGGAGTCATAAGATGAGTTGACAACGTAGACCGTAAAAAATTAACAAAATAGGGAGACCCCAACCCATCTTCTGTAGCCGTGTGGCATAGTTCCCTAATTTCCAAATAAGCGAGGGGTTCCCACTGTGGGTTGTTTCCCCTGGCACCGCAAAGCCTGACTGGCACGAATATTTTTGCTGCAATATCAAAATCTCCCTCCTTAAGAGCCTTTTTCTTTATCCACATCCAGTTATCATGAGGATCAGGAGGGAATAGGTCAATCTCATAATCTGAAGGTCCCAGATCAAAGGGGTACCCGTCCTCCCCACTGCTAGAGCCGAAGGTAGCAATCTAGGCTGCTAACAACCATGAGACAGGATGCCTTTCTCCTCCTTTATCTGGGCAGAGGGATGGTTGATGGCTGCAGCTGCTCTTCAGTACCAGGGGCACCAGTTTCAAGTGGGTAGAGAGAGTCAGAGCAGGGTAGGAGGCCAGCGGTATCTGCAGATGATAGAGCCTGAGACTGTTCTTGCTTTTTCAATGTCTCAAAAATCATTCTCCAGGACGGGAGCATGCACATTACCAGTTTATGTCCTGTAGAGGCCAAATCATAGAGCTTAACCCCCACATCATCCCAAACAGCAGATGTAAAAATAGAGGAGGCAGTGATGTTGGGACATTTAACAGCCACCCATTTAAGAATGTGTTTCAAATCCAGCTTTGGCAAGGACTTGCCGTGTTTTGCAAGCAAAGCAAGCATTAGTTCAAAAATGCCTCTCTCTTTAGACATGCTTTGTCCCATGTCCCCCCGGCTCACCTCCTTTGTGGAGGAATTATTTTGGGACCACTCCTGGTTCTCGCACTAGCACTTCCAGTTCCTAGGGGCTCACCAACTGCAGCCAGATAGGCTGGTTCTTGCTCTTCACATGGGGCTACCAATTATTGGCAATGGAGAGACAAGGACATCTGAAGGATCAGAAGCCAATTTTTATTGAGAATATAAAGTGTTTATATAGGGTTTACTTGTATGACACTTATATAGGGTTCTATTTTTGGTAACAATTTCCATGACCTGGTAGTCATTGTCTTATCACAAAGTTTCACAACATGTCTCTTGGTCACTTCTACCCCAGGGAGCAGTTATCTGTGTCTGTCTCTCCCATGGTTTCTGCTCAATCAGGCCTAAGATATCAGGCTCCTTTATCAGTTCCACTGCACTCTCTGTCTTACTCTCCATAGCTCAAGGCCTTATCCAACCTGGCCTTGAACTCTTCCAGGGATGGGGCATGCACAACCTCCCTGGGCAACCTGTCCCAGTGCCTGACTGCCCACACAATAAAGAATTTCTTCCTAATATCTAACCTAAGTTTCCCCTCTTTCAATTTGTACCCATTACTCCTTGTCCTATTACTACAGTTTTTAACGAAGAGTCCCTCTCTGGCTTCCCTGTAGGCTCCTTCAGGTACTGAAAGGAGCTGTCAGTTCTCCAGGGTGAACAGCCCCAACTTTCTCAGCCTGTCTTCATAGAGAAGGTGCTCAAATCCTCTCATCAAGTTAGTGTCCCTCCTCTGGACTTGCTGCAACAAATCCATGTCCTTCTTATGTTGGGGACACCAGACCTGAATGCAGTACTCCAGGTAGGGTCTCACAAGATCAGAACAGAGGGAGAGAATCACCTCTCTCACCCTGCTGGCCACTATCCTTTGGATGCAGCCTGGGATTCCATTTGCTTTCTGGGCTGTGAGCGCTCACTGCCAGCTCATGGTGAGTTTTTCATTACTTATCACCCCCAAGTCCTTATCTGCAGAGCTGCTCGATCACTTCTCTGCCCAACCTGTAGGCGTGCCTGGGATTTCTTTGACCCAGGTATAGGACTTTGCACTTGGTTTTGTTGAACTAGATGAGGTTTACACAGACCCACTTCTCAAGCGTGTCAAGTTCCCTCTAGATGGCATCCTTTCCCTCCATTGTGTCAACTGCACCACACGGCCCGGTGTTGTCAGCAAATTTGCTGAGGGTGCCCTCGATCCCACTGTCCATGTTGTCGTCAAAGATGTTGAACAGTATTGGCCCCAGTACCCACCCCTGAGGGACACCACTCATCACTGGTCTCCATGTGGACAATGAGCTGTTGACCCCAACTCTTTGCATGCAACCAGCCAGCCAGTTCTTTATCCACCGAGTGGTCCATCCATCAAATCCATGTCTCTCCAATTTGGAGACAAGGATGTCATGCGGGACAGTGTCAAATACTTTGCACAAGTCCAGGCAGATGATGTCAGTTGCTCTGCTCCATCTACCAATGCTGTAGCCCTGTCACAGAAGGTCACCAAATTTTTCAGGCATGATTTCCCTTTTATAAAGCCATGTTGGCTTTTAACAATCACCTCTGTTTTCCATGTGCCTTAGCATAATTTCCAGGAGAATCTGCTCCATGACCTTGCCTGGCACAGAGGTGAGACTGACTGGGCTGTAGTACCCTGGCTCTTCTGCTTTCCCCTTTTTAAAAATGGGAAATATATTTCCTTTTTTCCAGTCCTTCTGGGAAAACAGACTGACTGCCAAAATTTTAAAAAAAATATGGATAGTGGCTTAGCAACTTTCTCTGCCAGCTCCCTCAGCACCCATGAATGAATTTCATTGGGTCCCATGGACTTGTGCACATTCAGGTTCCTTACATGGTCTCAAACCTGATATTTTTCTACAGTGGGCTTAGAGTCTTCATTCTCCCAGTCTCTTTCTTAACTTGAGGAGTATGGCTGGAGCACTTGCTGTTGAAGGTTGAGGCACAGAAGTCATTGAGAAGACTTGCAGAAATCAAAGCACTAAGAACTAAACATTTTAAAACTTAAGCTAAGTTCCTATCCATTCATCTAAGTCATGAAAAAAGATGTTGAAAAATGTTGACTACAGAGCATGGATGGATTTTTGAATCCTAAACAATTTTGCCCTGTTAGCTATGAGACATCATCTCAGTTTAAAGGATAAACTTTTGAGTTTGACTCCCTTAATTTTTCTAGTGGCATGTGCATGCAAAGAAAGTGGCCCACTGTAACAAATAATAACAAAATATTCAGTTATTCAGCTAGAGCTATGCTTTATAATCATATAGGAAAAACTTTTTCGACTTCTAAGTTAATTGCTTTCATATGATGTGAAATATTACCCCCGCAGCCCCCGGAGTTACTAGGCTAGCCCAGATCTGAAAGGCCTTTGGGGGAATATTTTGGGGCAAGGCAAAAGATTCCAAAAGAGGGTCTAACCCCCGATGTAGTCCAAGACGTTTATTCTCAAAGGTTTCCAGGGGAGAAAGAGGGAAAGAGGGTGAACAAGGAAAAACAGAGCCTTATATAGACTCCTGCTCAGGAAAAGATAATTGACTCTCAGCCAATTAGGTCAAGAAAGGAAGGAAGGGTTAAATTAACATGCTTACAGATACAGGGGTCTCTGCGGGGGAAAAAACATTTTCCAGTGGAATACAACAATGATGAAAGTACATTTTGCTCAATTCAGTTGTGCTGAGGCATATTCTCAGGCTCATACTTACTAGAGATTGATCAATATAACTGCTCTTAAATCCATAGCAAGTCTTTATGCTATAGAATAAGATATAAAATTAGCATCATGCTGTATCCTTTGACCAGTTAAACAGCTTACTCTAGGCACACAAAATTATTTATTTCCATATGTTATAAATGAAAATTTGTCCAGCCAAATTAAAATGAGAAATAAATTATTTATTTTGCAATCAAATTCTATCTAGCCAGCCACAAGGAAAGAACAGAGCCAAGCCCGGGGTCGGCCCTGGGTGTGCAACAAAGAGGTCAGCCTCAGCAGAGGTTTTCCTCTATGCCCACACACCTCCATCCTGGTACAAGCGGTTTTTATAGGGAAAATTCCGCTTGAAGCCAAGATTTCAGCAATCAGTCTTTTCTTCCATTCAGGGTCCATAGGTTAATAAGATTTTCTTTTTTTGGTGATGAAGAAGAACAATTCAGTGTCGGAGTTGTTGAATCCTTTGATGAAGTTTACTGGAACACTGCATTCACATGTATCTGTCCGGGGATTTCCATGATATCCATCTCGGGTCGTTCACGCGATGATCAGCGCCTGGGGTCCCTGTATCTCTCCAGACATGGCCCATCTCCTGGCGAGCCATACCTTCTTACTTGTAAATCAGTTTCCAATATACACTCGGTCTCGCCTGCAAGGGTGGGGGGGCTAATACAAACGAGCATAATATAGCAAGTGTCCAATATTACACATTTCATACAAGCAATGGCGCAAATTATGTTTACTACACATAACACGTATGATTGGGCAACCTAAGTATTTGGTTCCTTCTATATATTTCCTTTTCACTCTTAGCCTATGGATACACTAGTAAAGAGGTACAGATCAACTCTTCTGTAGCCTTCCCTCAACTCTTTAAGGCTTGAAGAGACAGCAAGGGGGTTTTCTGAATGGAAAACTCATAGGCAGCTTGTTGGGGGTGGGGAGCATGTGACTTCAGTGTTCAAACGTTTACTAAAAAATCCTATTCAGTATAAAGATTTCTTTAATTTGTTAAGTATTCTTGTGTATGTACTTGGGGAGGGACAGTTTTAATTGGGTAGCATACATATTTCAGTTGAAAATATCTCAAAATTAAAATTGTTTTTCTTTTTACTGCCACCAACTACAAACCCAATGCCAAAACCACAACTATTTATATAAGAAGCTGGTTGACTTATACAAAGATATTATTCATGATCAGGTAGTTGAAACTCTTAGAGGAAAGAGTCATTTTTCAGTCTCCTGCAAAATGTCTAGCAAAATCTTGTGAAGGAGATGATTACTTTTCACTGGGCCTGTTGTGTTGCACAGAAGGGGACTTGTACTGACAACTGTTGATCTTTTTTGTATAGACTAAGAATAATTTTATTTTTTAAATAATTTAATAATAAAAAGGCTTGCTTTGCATATATATACTCGGATTTTATTTTTAAATCTAGAGAACATGAATGGTTTAAGCAGGACCTTCCCAAGTACCTGTTTCCTGAAGACCCGTCATATAGTTCTACCATGATTGATGATGAAGCCTTAAAAGAAGTGTGTGAGAAGTTTGAATGCACTGAAGAAGAAGTGCTAAGTTGTCTGTACAGCCAAAATCATCAGGACCCTTTAGTGGTTGCGTATCACCTCATTCTAGATAATAGAAGAATAATGAATGAGGCCAAAGACTTCTACTTGGCTACAAGCCCACCGGATTCTTTTCTTGATGATCACAATCTGTCTCGACCTCATCCTGAAAGAGTGCCATTCTTAGTAGCTGAAGCACCACATCCGGCCATACTCTTGATGAGCTGAATCCACAGAAGTCAAAACACCAAGGTGTAAGAAGAGCGAAATGGCACTTGGGAATACGGAGTCAGAGTAGACCAAATGATATCATGTCTGAAGTTTGTCGAGCAATTAAACAACTGGATTATGAATGGAAGGTAAAGAATAAAGGGTCTTTACAGCAGACAACAGTACATTTTTGTTTGAGCTGTGTAATTACAAAGCCGTGAAGTATGAAACTGTTCTCCTGTGCTGTGGAAAATAGTCTTGTGTGCCTGTACTGACTACTTGCATTTTCTGTGCAGGAAGGGTTTGGGGAGGAAGGCTATTTATGCTGGCAGGAATAATCTTGCTAATGTGCTTATTCTTTCTACTGGGGCTCTGGGAATATGTTGAGTAGGGTGTCTTGTCTGAGGTTTTTTGGTGTGTTTTTGTTGGCAATAAAAACTCTGACAAGCAAACCTGAAATCACTTAATAACATCAGCGACTTGAAATAAGAAAAACAATGTGCAGTGCTTCTAAAACAGTTCTAGTTACTAAGTCAAATCTCTTGTGTATTAGGTTGTAAATCCATACTATCTGCGTGTTCGAAGCAAGAATCCAGTGACAAATGCATATTCCAAAATGAGTCTACAGTTGTATCAGGTGGATAGCAGGACATACTGGACTTCCGTAGCATTGATGGTATGTAAAGACTTAAGTCAATGGACTTGTAAGGGGAATAATTTTAAATGCAAACATGTCAACTTACTTGTTTATAAGTGATGTAAGTGTTGCCCTTTATTTAGTTTAAGCCAAGCTAGATCTGCATTAATGTTTCTTTATTCCTTCCTTGTCTAGTGTTCCTATGATCAGATGGTTAGCTGTTTCATTCCTTAAATAATCACTTTTTAGATATATCAACTCTCAAACTTCTACATTTTGTGTCTGCACCAGCACTAATATTGCTGGTGCAAAAGGGGAAGGATTGTTGGAGGTGAGTTTTGAATCAACCTAAACTGGTTTTGTGGCCTCACCCCCAAATTTAAACTTTTAATTTAGATCTGAAGTAAGTATGGGAACATATTTTCCTAGTGAAGATAAAGCTTGGCATTTAGGCATGCAAATTTGACTTTAGCTGTACATTGATGTACTGCATCTGGCTGAGATGGAGTTAACTTTCTTCATTGTAGCTGGTATGGTGCTATGTTTTTCATCTGTGACTAAAACAGTGTTCTGGCTATTGCTGAACAGTACTTGCATAGTATCTAGTGTTTCTGTTTTCTCACTGTGGTGCACCCAATGAGTAGGCTGGGGGTGAATAAGAAGTTTTATGGGGACATAACCTGAACTGCTGACCTGGCTTGATCAAAGTGATGTCATGCTGTATGATGTCATGCTTAGCAAAAAATCTGAGTGGATGGGAGTTTAGGGAAGGTAGCCATTGTTCAGAGACTGGCTGCGTGTTAGTATGCTTATTAGGAGGTGGCACGTGGTCGCCTTTGCATCACTTTTTTTTTCTTTCTTCCTTCATCTTAGTAAGCTGTTTATCTCAATCTATGAGTTTTCTTGCTTTTGTCTTTCAAATTCTCTTCCTCCATTGCACTAAGGGTAGGGCGGAGTGAATGAAGGGCTGGCTGGGGATTTAGCTGTCAGCAAAGTCCAACCCAACAATGCTAGGAGTAGACAAAATTTAAGATGGGCATATGCTTGCAGTAAGTGAAGTCTTGAAAGTGGATGGACAGATCTGTAGAAAAAACTTTTATAGAGTGCCATTATCACAGCATACAACTCTAGTGTGGTTTAAGCCCAGCTAGGAACTAAGCCTCACACAGCTGCTCCTTCACTTTCCCCTGGTAGAATGGGGGAAGACAATCAAAAGGGCAAAACTGAGAAAACTCATGGGTTTAGCTAGAGACAGTTTAATACGGAAAGCAAAAGCCACATGTGCAAGCAAAGCAAAACAAGAAATTTGGTTACTCCTTCCCATGGGCAGGCAAGTGTTCAGCCATTTCCATCATACATAACAGTTACTTGGGAAGACAAATGCCATCATTCCAAACATCCCCCACTTCCTTCTTCCCTCAGCTTTATATGCTGAGTATGATGTCATATGGTCTGGAATATCCCTTTGGTCAGTTGGGGTCAGCTGTCCCAGCTGTGTTCTCTCCCAACTTCTTGTGCATCCCCAGCCTACTTACTGGTGGGGTGGTATGACAAGCAGAAAAGTCCTTGATGCTGTGCAAGCTCTGCTCAGCAATAACAAAAACATCCCTGTATTTTCACACACTGTTTCAGCACAAATTCAATCCATAGCCCCGTGCTAGCTACTAGGAAGAAAATTAACTATTCCAGTGAAAACCAGCACAAACTGCAAGTCATACCTTCCTGAAAATGGAGGAGCAAATATAGACTGGCCATAATGCTTGTTTACGAGCATAATAGACTAAAGCAAATTATTTCTAGCCAACAGTGTACATGATATGCCTAGGACAACATGTGTCATGGAAAAAGAATTTACTGGAATATGGCTGGATTACAGTACAGGATGGCTAAGGCTGAGTCTCATGACAGTTTAATCTGATCTGACTTGGCAATGCAATTCTTGCCTTGTCCCTTCTAACCATATAAGTGCTTGCTTAGCTCTAGTAGTATTTGATACAGGGCATTAATCCCTTTCCTGCACTGACCTCTACTGTAGTATAGGACAAATGCTATTCCTGTTGAAGGGGAGATGACTGCTTAGAGCCATGCAGCTGGGGCAGCTTCAGTCCTGGCCTCAGTTCTTGAGGAAATACAAGCCTAGTGCATGGATTTGGCATCTGTCTTCCTGCAGTGAAGCTGATCTGACTTGCCCTCCACCACAGCTAGCCATTCTCTAGCCCTCTTGCAAACTGTAGTTTAAAGTAGCTTTGATGTGAAGACCCAATCTCTTCTGTGTTCACTGACTTCTCTTAGAAATAACTTTTTCTGATGACAGGTGCAAGTCAAAACTAATGTTGAGTATTTAAAGTAAGAATAGAGATATTTCAGCAGAAAATTACCTTCAGTATGAGGTAGAAATGCTTCCATCTTAGAAGTAAACAAACTGTTGCAGCCCAAATGCATATTAAAGAGAAAACCTTCCAAAAAGGAAGGATGTAGATGCTAGCATTTAATGCATCAATGAATTATAAGGAAATACAAAGTATGAATAACCAAATAGAAAGAAAGCAAATTAAATAATATCAAAAAGCATCTACACAATGTTCAAAATGTTATTTGATTTAACCTTATGATGCTGTCATGTTTCTGTTTTAAGCTAAAGCTAAATCTATTTAACTATTAGCTGCTGAAACTACATGAAAAATGAAGTGAGTGCTGGTCTAAACTAGATCACATAGTCCTGGAGCACAGTTCAAAGCACAAGAATAATTTGCATAAGGACATTTAATTCTGTTGCTATACATATAGGTTTTTTGTATCAACTACATACAGTTGTAAAAGCTGTTTATGTATTAATCAACATTTAAGAAAATCAAGATTGGAAGTGTGAAAAAGTTTGCTGTTCCTATGATTAATTTTCCTCATCTCTCCAATTGTCCCCCAGATGAAATTACTGAAGCAAAATCTGGGACTGCAACTTCACAGAGATCAGGTTCTGTGAGCAACTGTAGATCCTGTCAAAAAGATTCAGATGGTGATGCACAGGGAAAATCTGCAGATATATACCTTACACCATCAGTAACCTCTTTGATTGATTCTTCTAAGGCTGAATTAACTCCAAGACCAGGGAGTAATACAATAGAATTCTTTGAGATGTGTGCAAATCTTATTAAAATACTTGCACAATAAGTTTGAAAGTGGGCTTATTTCTTTTACAGCAATAAGCATCCCTAAATCATAGTCAAATGCTTCCAGTTATAATTAAGTTAAATGAACTAAGATGCTGAAAAAACTAGCCACAGAATTCAATTTTCAGTGGTATTGTAATGATTCTAGGCCATTATGTAAATTATTTTGAAGCTGGAGTGAATTCTGATTGTCCACTGTCCAATAGCATAATACAGGTATAGGAAGTCATGTGCCCTTGGCAGTGTTCATAACACTTTACACTGATTGCACATTAGAATTCAAATATTTAAATTTAAATTTCACTTTTTTCAATGACAATACATACATCTAATGCACTGTAAGTAAATGTAGTTCAATGACTTAAGTATGACTTGATCAGCATCTATAATTGTGCCTTAGTTGATCAGAATTGTCAACATCTAACAGTAATATATTAAAACTGCTGTTTCTTCCCTCTTCCTTGATAGTAAATGATAAAGAATAATTTGATGTATTATAATATACTACTTTTAATAACAGATAAATATGATTAAATGCATGCAAATCCAACCAGGTGAAAATATGTGTAGGGGCTTTGTAATACACTAAGGGTGAAATTCTGTGGGCTGTAAGCAGAACAATTCAGGCCACAGCAGTAGTGAGAGGCTTAATGCTGAGAAGACTGGGCACCCTGTGTGCTGAAACAAAATGTGGTTCTGTGAAGGAGAAGTGTCAGCAGGTTCCTGATCTGTGCAGATTTAGTAGCTCATATCTTAGTGTGGTAGCAGCACAACAGTTCCCCACTGCTACTGCAGGCTGAGAATCCTGTTCCTTATAAACACATGCATGTAGTCAAAAGCACAGCTCTATGGCTTCTTACATGCTATTCCAGAATCTAAAATTTTCACTTTTAAAAATATGTTCATACTTTGATACAGCTGTTTATATCATATGCTACCTTGCCATATATTTTATAGAATTCACATTGCAGTTGAAAATACATATATAGCTTTAGGGTTTTCAAAGCAGCTTTTATAGTGAACTCTGCCATTTAAATTGTGGCAGTAACAGTCCAACTTTTCAGTTGAACATTTAAAACTGATCATGACAGCTTATCATATAATCATAGAATGGTTTGGGTTGGGAGGGACCTTAAAGATTACCTGCTTCTAACTCTCTGCTATGGGCAGGGACACCTTCAACTAGACCAGGTTACTTGTAACCCCATCCAACCTGGCCTTGAACACTTCCAGGGATGGGATGTCCTCAGCCTCTCTGGGCAACCTGTGCTGGGGCCTCACCACACTCATAGTAAAGAACTTCCTAATATCTTGTTGGTGAGAGTCGCGGGAGACAAGTCTCATGCTGTCATGATCAACAAGTCTCAGTTTATTGGAGTTGATTACAGTTTCTTTATACAAGCACTAATTAGTTCATACATATTGCAAAAGCGAAGCTCAGGATTGGTTACCTTTCTATTAACACATATATCTTTTTTCGATAAGCCTTGCAGTTACTGCTTCTTTATACTTGATTATCTTTCTGCATACTAAGCAATTTTACATCTTGGTTGTTAACGAGACACCTGTATGCTCAAGGTTGTTAGGAGATATCTGTTTCTCAAGGTTGTTAGGAGACATCTGTTTCTCAAGGGCATAGTTTTCATGCTACAAGTCACGTATTCTCACACTCTCATCAACTTAACCCTTTCGTGTCCCTTGCTGCGCAGCCATTCTTCAGCTAAACTCTCGACAATATCTAACCTAAATTTGCTCTCCTTCAGCTTAAGGCCATTTCCCCTTCTCCTGTCACTGCATGCCCTTGTGAAAAGTCCCTCTCCATGTACCTTGTAGGCCCCTGTTAGGTACTGTAAGGCTGCAATAAGGTCACCCCAGACCCTTCTCTTCTCCAGGCTGAACAGCCCCTAGTCTTTCAGCCTGTCTTCATAGGGAGGTGTTCCTGCCCTCCGATCCTCCTTGTGGCCTCATCTGGACTTGTTCTAAAAGGTCAATGTCTTTTCTTGTGTTGGGGACCCCAGAGCTGGATGCAGGACTCCAGGTGGGATCTCACAAGAAGAGAATAGAGGGGTAGAATCACCTCCCTTGACCAGCTGGGTATGCAGTGATAGGATAAGGAGTGTTGGAACTCAGGGCACAGGGAATATTTCTCTGCCTGTCCTGAGAAGTCCTGATCACCAGGAGAACACAGCTTTTAAGCTTTGTCCATGGAGAAAGCTCCCAAGACCTTGGGAAGAATTGGAATCTATGAGTGTGTGAAATAGATAGCAGTATAGTTTATCACAGGGTGAAAAAGAGTTTTGTGTTTTTAGTATGGAGGTAGATAGGAGACAAGATGGAGGATTTTGGGCATTGTCTGATCTCCTTCTTGTTCTTCATCTACTCAATTTTCTGCAGTGTTGGGAGCACAGGGTGATTGGTTAGAAAGAACCACAATGCCAATGTTGCGTGGACAGAAAAAAAATTAGTTATTCGTAGAAAGGTAGAAATAAAGTATGTTCTAAGAGTTAATTGGACAAAATAGCTTTAAAAGACCTTGAATCTGTGTGTCTTGTGGCTTTTGGTGCCTTCTCTTTGTATGCTAAGTCTGAGATGTAGATGGTGTGCAGAACTTCTGATAAGAGAAAAATAAACAACAACCTGAAGACTGAAAAAACCAAGAGTCCCATTCGTCTCTCATTCCTGGCACAGAACTTTTTAAGGGTCTCCCCATCAGGGGACCCACAAGGGAGGTTTCGACAAGGAGGAATGGCCTTAAGCTGAAGGAGAGAAGGTTTAGATTAGATATTAGGAAGAAATTCTTTATTATAAGGGTGGCAAGGCACTGGCACAGGTTGCCCACAGGAGGTGGATTCTCCATCCCTGGAAGTGTTCAAGGCCAGATTGGATGGGTCTTGGAGCAATCTGGTCTAGTGGAAGGTGTCCCTGCCTATGGCAAGGGGGTTGGAAGTAAATTATCTTTAAGGTCCCTTCTGACCCTAGCCATATTGTGATTCTTTATCAAGCTTCTCATCCACAACCATCCTCAGTCTCCCAGGGCTAATTCTTGATTCATTTTACACACAGCTTTTAATTGTGCTTGGGATTAAAAAAGTTTTAAGGAGTAGATTTCTGTTACCAATGTCATAAATCCTACCACAGTTATGGTTTTTGCAATGTTTTCACAACAAAATTGAACCTTTAATGTTAAAATATTAGCTAATACTTGCACAAAAACATTTACTCTCTTGTAAACTGGATATAGTTATCCACGGTTCCATTTTCATCTAGCACTAATAGATGTAAACATTGCACAATAAACTATGTCATAAAACATTTGCATTCAACAATGAGAATTCTCTTCAAAGTCAACTTCATAACCTACTTTCTTTCAAAGATTGCTCTTCTGATTAGAGACTGGAAACAAGGCATTATTATGAACAGTAAAGTCTTGACCCTGAAAATGAATGTGAGTTATTGTCATTGTCTAGCTGAAAAATGCTAGCTACACCTATAAGAATAGTCTAATCCAGGCCAACCAGTTCCAGTTATGAATATGCACAGCACAGAATTTGAACAAACTGAAAGATGCTTAAGACCTGGAGCTGCTGTAACTGTTTTCTGAACTGGGAAATGGTGTAGTCTGCTTAATACATAGGTACATGTTGCAACTCCAGTTCTTTATCCTCAAGTGTCACACACTGTCCCTATAATGCAAGGTTGTATTACTGTATCTCAAAGTGGAAGATTTCTCTTAATGTTTTGGGTTTAAATTCCTGAGATTGAGATTCAACATGAGACCAGTTGCCCATCCTAGTTAAGTGAGGGTTTGTGTTATGTGGGATCTTTTTATGACTTGTAAGAAATGATTCTGATGTACTAAAGCAGTGTACTCATTTTTGTTACCCTTTTATTTTGAAGTTGGTAAATATTATACAATATAAAAAATGCAGAGGGTTTTTTGTTTTTTTAATTGCAGTAAATTCTCATCTGGAATTGGTTTGGAATCACTGAAAGGGTCTCTTTGTGTATGTTAAGCTAAATATTTGCAAATGGTATCTGGTCCTGTTTTGCAAATTTGTAATGCTGACCACAAGTACAAGGTGTCAAAGTGCAAATATCTTTTAATTTTTATATACTTTTTGGCACTTATGCATTAAGGCAACCTTGGTTATTTTGTCTCAGTATCTGATAGCTGAAGAGAGTTTCTGGCAGAAGTGTACCGTATATATAGCTTTATTTAAAGTAAATTTTATTGGTATGATAAATCAGTTTTGGTGGACAAAAGTTTCCTGATGGAACAGAGTTGAGGTGGGGTTTGCGGTCTTTTTGTTTGTTGTGGGGGTTAGCTTATACAGTGGGGGGGAGGGAGAAATAATGCACTGGAGAGTCTAGAAGAAGTGGAGCCCACTGGTTGAGATACCCGTGCAGGGAGGGTAATGCCTGAGAAAGAGACAGCAAAGAATTTCTCACTATTCCCTCCCCTTCTAAGCACATTTGGTCAGTTTGATTTCCTGGCAGTATATGGTTTTCCATATAATACTTTGAAGGGACTTTCTCCCTCTCTAACCCATAGAGTTATCTCGATTCTCATCAATAAAACAGATAAAACCTCCACTCGTTTAGGACGTGTTTCCTGACATAATTTTGTGATTTGCCTCTTGAGAGTCTGTAGGAATAAGGCATACAGCCATGAGATATGCCATAAAATGTGTGTTGAAGGGATTAATGTGAGTGTTATAGCCTACTGATGGGGCAGATGCTGGATGACCCTTGTCCCTGCAATTGGCCAGGTGAAAGAGGAAGTGATACTAAGCATCACAGTTCTGTTCTACCCTTGCACAAGATCCAGAGCCTTTGTAACAGCTCTTTGTTACTCCTGATATCCCTAATTTACATATAAATTGGCTTCCCTCCCCCATTTATGATGGCAGTAATGGGATATTTGACTGCAGTCTCATCTTCACTTCTCCCAAGAATGAGAATATGACCGCCTTGCAGACAAGTTGATGGGCTTTCTCCTCTCTCCTCCTCAAAGCAGGGACACCTTTTTGGTAAGATTTGTGCATCTGATTATGTCAG